CTGGTGCCGTACTCTAGCCTCCAGTTCATCATTCTTAAACAATAAATGAAAGACATCATCATCTTTTTTTTTTTTCATAGCTAATCTCTCTACCCCAGAGACCCTAGTGTAAGAAGTGAGTTGCAGTCTGATATTAACTTTGCAGAAAGCTTGAATATATAAATCATTTTAGAGCAGCAGGGTGCAGATTCACGTGCACTGTTAGTCCAGACTGCTACAGCTAGGAAGTGTACATCTAAATATTCTGAATTATTTAATATTTATTCTGACAGAGTGAAGGCATGCCAGGTACGATCACCACATTTGTGCACTGGATGCTGAAACAACCTAGGCAGGGGCCCAAAGACTTAGCAGTGTGAAAGTTATATGCACAGAAATGTGTGGGAAAAGGAAGTAAAAGCAGACTATACAAAACTAAAGGCCAGTGGGCTTAGATCTTTGTAAAAAAGCAAATTATCTGTATGTCTTTAGAGCCTTAAAGACTTCCCCTAACTCCTCCTGTGGTTGTTGAATACTTCTGGTGAGTTATTTTAAGAATGGGGCTTTTCCCCTCCTTATATTAACATTTTTGCTAAAAAGGCAACATTTTCAAAATTCCAGTGCTGTATAGTTTCACTTTACTCAAACACTCAACAAGAACAGTCTCTACATGCCCCTCTTACTGCTGACGCTGTGTGCTTGTGCAGAAGGAAATGCAAGATACAGAAGGCCAGACGGTGAGAAGGGGTCTGACCTTAGCCAAGTGATAGGGACATAGCCCTGTGCGAGGGCACACCCATAGGAAAGGACAGAGCTGGAGCCTTCTTTCCATTGCCTTTCAACTTTGGGGAGGTCTGGGCCTTTGGGGGACTCCATCATAGGGAACAATCCTTACCAGAGGAAGAAGTTTGGGCCTCTTGCTTTGATGCAAAAACACATAAGTAGCTCTTGACTCCGACTTGTCTCTGAATGTGTGATCTCACTGCATAGTAACATATTTCAGCTGGAGGAGCAGAGAGTACCTGAGTAGCCAGAACTGGATTTTTAAAGCCTCTCAAACTAAGAAGGGCATTGAGTCCAAGCCTTTCATTTCCTGGTCACGAGGTCTCAGCAGTAGCTGTGTGTATAAAAAGGCATCACCGATTCTGATTCCAAACAAAAACGCATATGGCTGCTGTGTTTGCTATTAACAGTAGGGCTGGGCCCAGAGAAGATCTTAGTAATGCAGGACAGGCAAGATTTAGGAACAATAATGCTTAATTTGTTAGTCTCAAAGAGGTTCGGGTACGGGCAAGACAGGCACTCGGGTAATCCACTCATTCTGCTGGTTCTGTGCTTAACTAAGGACAAATCATAGGGCCTACAGCCTACTAAATGCCTGATGCAGAGCCTTTGACTCAATCCCAGCAAAGGTGACAAACTGCTTTTGTGATTCCACTCGACGCTCTCCAAGAGGAGGAAAGGAAGGGAAAGGAGGAGGGGAAAAAAAAAAAAACCACACGCACACAAGCCCACGTTGCACAACCTTGGCGCTAAGCAAAGGTCAAGGGTGGCGACCGTCTTTCCACCGGCCCAAGCTGCCGCTCCAGCCCCTGCGCGCGGCGCCCGAGCGAGGAGAGCCGTGAAGGTGAGCGGGGCGGGGGCAGAGCGGAAG